ATATCTATCAGCAAAACAATTCTCCAGAAAACAGACATCTGTTCACTATCGCCAGAAACCATTGTAAAAAGGTTTTGTCTGACGCCAAAGCTCGCTATTCTCAGGTCATAAAATCTCGTTCCTCATCACAAAAATTAGGCTCTCGAGACTTCTGGAGAATCTTTAACAGTATCAATAATAAGGGCAAATCTGTTATTCCTTCTCTCTTGTATGGTTCAGACTTTGTCACCTCACCTAAAGACAAAGCTGAATTGTTTGCTAAGAACTTTTCATCAATATCATCTCTTGATTCCACTAGTTGCGTTCTACCTGACATAGCCGTCAAACAGGTTGATCCCTTGCTTGACATTCGCATCGCTTCAGCTTCTGTATCAAAAGTAATTTCCTGCTTAGACTCATCAACAGCTTGTGGTCCTGACAACATTCCTGTTGTAGTCTTGCGGAAGTGTTCTCCGGAGCTTTCATCCATACTTTCAAAACTATTTAACAAGTGCTTATCAGAGTCTTTTTTTCCATCATGCTGGAAAGCAGCATCTGTTATCCCTATTTTCAAAATTTCCGGAGAGCGATCTGATTCATCTAACTACCGTTCCATTTAGTCTTCTTCCTGTCATAAGCAAGGTTTTTGAATCTTTAATCAACAAACACTTAATCTCTCATCTTGAATCAAATAACTTACTTTCTGATCATCAATATGGATTTCGATCTTCTTGTTCTACAGCTGATTTGCTAACAGTAATAACCGATAGGTTTTACCTTGCATTAGATAGAGGTGGAGAGGTTAAGGCTATCGCACTTGACATTTCTAAAGCTTTTAATAAAGTTTGGCATGCTGGTCTTCTCCATAAGCTTTCTTCTTATGGTGTATCTGGTAACATCTTTAAGATTATTGAGTCCTTTCTTTCCAATCGTAGTATAAAAGTTGTCCTCGATGGACAACACTCTTCTTCACATCCTGTAACTTCAGGGGTTCCTCAAGGTTCAATCCTTGGCCCTATACTCTTTTTAATTTACATTAATGATCTTCCAGATACTCTCACATCTAAGGTGGTATTATTCGCTGATGACACTACCATTTACTCTTGTCATGATAAAAAGCCTACACTCTCTGATTGCCTGGAGGGGGTATCTGAGCTTGAAAAGGATCTCACTTCTACTACAGCATGGGGCTCACAGTGGCTGGTGAACTTTAATTCAGATAAAACTCAATTTTATTCAGCCAATCGTTATCGTAATAATTTAGATCTTTCTATATTTATGAATGGTAATGTACTAGATGAGTCATCTACCATTCATCTTCTAGGATTAACTCTTACTTCTGATCTTTCTTTTAAACCGTATATCAAATCCATTGCAAAATTAGCATCTGCTAAGGTTGCATCTCTTTATCGAGCTTGACACTTTCTTACTCCAGATTCTATTCTCTATCTCTATAAATCTCAAATCCGTCCCTGTATGGAATACTGTTGCCACATCTGGGGTGGATCTTCTAATGATGCTCTTTCTCTTTTAGACAAGGTGCAAAAACGCATTGTAAACATAGTTGGACCTGCTCTGGCAGCCAATCTCCAACCTTTGTCACATCGTTGTGATGTTGCTTCTCTTTCTCTTTTCTACAAATACTATAATGGGCACTGCTCTAAAGAGCTAGCGTCCCTTGTGCCATCTACTAAAATTCATTCTCGTGTTACTCGCCATTCAATTAAGTCTCATCCTTTTTCTGTGACTGTTCCTAAGTGCTTCAAAAACTCTTATTCTTCTAGTTTTTTTCCTCGAACATCAGTTCTTTGGAATTCGCTTCCTCATCTTGCTTCCCTGATTCATATAATTTGCAATCTTTTAAGTCATCAGTCAATCGTTATCTTGCTCTACAGATTTAGTCTTTTCTCTTCCAGTAACTTCCAACTCTTATAGTGGTTGCTTGCAGCCTTGTTGGAAGTGAAGATGTTAAAAAACAAAAAAAACAAAAAAAAGTTGTTAAGCGCAATTAGAAATTTAAGAAATAATCTTTTAAAATATTTAAAAATTTAGCATATTTTAATTCATTTATGCAAATGTCAAGAAAAGAAAGAAATTCAAACATTTTTTAAAATGTAATATTAAATTTAATTATTTAATATTAACAAAAAAGAAAAGAAAATATTTCCTTAAAGTAATAATAAAAAAGAAGTTAAATAACATTTAACTTGTTTTGTGGTAATTAATATTATTAATAGTAAATAGCAGTGATTTAAAAAAGTTAATGTCTTTAAAAAATAAAAAAATATAGAATTTTATGATGTCAAATTCACATTAGGCTATTGCTTTAAACATTTTTGATTTAAAATAAAGCCTGATATATATATATATATATATATATATATATATATATATATATATATATATATATATATATATATATATATATATATATATATATATATATATATATATATATATATATATATATATATATATAATCAAGCTTAGCCAGGAATGGCAGGTGATTGAATGCTATTGCTGTACCACGCTAACCGTGTAAATGATTTTTTTTTTTTGACAATTTGACCATAACTGTTTAGATGCTTTGATGATTTAAATATTTCAGAAATGCCATAAAAAAAGAAATGCTAAGCTAAACTAGGAGGAAAATAAAAAAAAATAAAAAACTAAAGAAAAAAGAAAACAACTTCTTATGAAAAAGTAAATATATAAGCACTAGAATAAAACTCAAAGATAAACAAGTTGTACTTGTAAAGTTATGATGATAGTTTTTCAAAATACACTTTTTTTCCCTATACATACTAATTATTTAAGTTATGTTATGCAGCTCGCATTTTAATTTATTTATGAACATAAATTTTGTTTACGAATAGATTTTAAAATTTATCTATGAATTTTATTAAAATTTATCTATGAACTGTTTATAAACTTTATTAAAAATATTACATTAATATATTAATATTACATTAAATAAACTTAAGAAAAATAATAAGTTGTAATAAAGAAACAAAAGATTATGTTAAGATTATTTAAAAAAAAATAAATAAGGAAATATAATCTTTTTCAAATATTGAATTTAGATTTCATTAGTAATTTTTGTTATATTAGTTTTAATGCAGTTTAAAGTTAAGTTTAATTATGTGGTACTATAAAATAGGCAATAATGCAATTTAACTTTTAACTATGTATATATTAAAGTTGTGTTAAAGTTACATATATTAGTGTTAAGGTTTTTTTTTTTTATGAAATATACCTTGGTGGGAAGAGAGAGCTTTAGCTCTTGCTCTCGCCCACACTCCCCTAAAATGATTTATGGGGGGCAATTTATGGCTCTTGCAAAAGTATAATTTTTTCTCTCAATAGTACAATTATCATTGTAAAAAGAGCACCAATTGAAATGCACATGTTTTTAATTAGATTGGACTAACTATTATATATTTTATATATTATTTACTTTAATATATTATTCACTTTTATGGAATTTTTAATTTTTGTAATCATTCTTAAAATGCCTGAATATATATATATCGTCGGGGATAGTGCAAAACCGCGTAACTAGCATTGAATAATACCGCGTATCTACAGTACATTTTTTTTACTGGAGAAGTTTAAAACTTTATATATTTTTTATTTTAACTGATTTTGGGTTCATTTTAGTATAAAGAGTATTATTCATGTTTTTTGTAATCTCAACAATAAATATTTGGTGTTAAAATTAATAATATCCAAATATAGTAGCCAATGCTAGTTACGCGGATTTGCACTATCCCCGGTGATATATATATATATATATATTTATATGTATGTATGCATGTATTTACATATGTATGTATGTATGTATGTATGTATGTATGTATGTATGTATGTATGTATGTATGTATGTATTTATGTATGTATGTATGTATGTATGTATGTATATATATCAGTTATATATCCAGCCCTCTTTTGGCACCTATATACCCATTTTGATACCCAAAATTTTTTACCTACACTCTATGTAAAAAAAAAGTTTCATTATTTAATAATTTAAAAAACTTTTGTTAAGCTTGTAACAAGATGAAAAAATAATAGTAATAAAAAAAAGTATCAAGTTTTTGGAAGGAGTTTAGTTTAGTTTTTTTTAATTAAAGTGAAATATTATTAGTATCAAAAAAAGAAAGCTTTCATTTAAAGTATGATGTTGTCACACAGTTTATATTAGAACATGTTTCTACTTTGTAAAAACAAGCTATTTTATAAAATGGAATATTTACTTTTTTTAAAACACTCACTAAAATACGATTGTGAAAATTAGTATTAGAAAATAAAGATTTGAGTAAATTTTAAAGTGACATTTGAGTAAAATTTAAAGTGACATTAAAAATGTAGATATTTTATAAAATATGTTTTTTTGGTTTGTTTGTATTCATGCATTTAAGTAAATATACTTTAGATAAAAATTAATAAAATTAAAAATAAATAAACATGATTAATGCAAAATATTGCACTGCTTGATATTTCTTTAAGGCAATTATTAACAAAGTGGTATAACAAAAGATTGGTCTTATTGACATTAGGATGAGCGCAAAATAACATCTTGGGCAATTTCCTTTATCACATGCCCTATATGACATTTATAAATTAAAGTTGGTCATCTGGGGATGTATAATTTTTCAGTGAGGGTGGTAGTCTTTGAGATAAGGGAAATCAGCACCTAGATCTACCACTAAAATTGGTGTCCCCTGAATCACTGCTGGATGTCACTATATATGTTGTCATACAATTGTATGTTGCATTATCATGATATGAATTGTGTGATTTAAAGTGATCTGTAATATTTAAAAAAAATAATGCACATTATGTAATGTTTAGACATAAACACATAAACCTTATGTATTATATAGATATAAACATATACACATTATGTAATATGTAGGCATAAACATTATGTTATACATAATGTTTATGCCTACATAAACATTATGTTATGTAGACATAAACATTTAGCAAAAAACATGAACTTTTCATGTTGTTTTTAGAGGTTTTGGATTTGTAACATTTGTAGATCCTAATTCTGTAAATAAAGTTCTTGCTCATTCTCGTCATTGTATTCATGGAAAAGTGGTAAGATTTTTTTTTTCTTTGTTTTAGAAATTGTAAAATCTTATGTGGTAAGCATTTTTGATTTTTAAAATTTCAAAATATGCTGTTTTCAAATTTATAAAAGTTGACAGAATGTTTAATTTTGTAATTTTTTTCTTTGTTAAAAAATTTTCTTATTGCATTTATTATTTGTTGAATTTAATTTTATTCATTTTTTAGTCATTTTACCCTTTTAAATTGTTTGATATTTTAATACTAACGGCAAATTTCAGGCTTTGTTTTAAAGAGATACACTGCTTGCAATTTACACATGTGTTAAGCTATTCTACATGTCTAAAGCAATTTTGGTCAACCAACTTTTTATTATTCTTTAACTTTTAAATTAGTCTATAACTGGTAAGAAAAAGAAGTAATTAATTTTATAAAAAACCACTTTAGATGATGAATGACGGTAAAAAAGTTTGTTACAAAAGTTTGAATGACAGTTATTTTGAATATAAGCACTTACAAATCAAAAAAAATTTAGATAAAATTTAAAAAAAAAGAGAAAGTTTGATCTTTATAAGATAACCTTTTTATAGGTTATTATAGGTTATTATTTTATGAGTTTTTATAGAAATAATAGTAACAGAAAAAATTTTTATTATAGTTAACAACGGTTTTTTCTTTGTATATGAAGTTATTAAATGAAACAAAAAAAGAAAACCATAAGAGAAATATTTATAATAAAAAGCTTTTATTTATAATCTTGCAAGTACAAAACTATTTATACAACTTTACATAGCAATAAAAAATAATTACTTAAACTTCTATTGAGTTATAAAAAATAAATTATTAATAAAAAAAAATTTAATGTTTTATATTATTGCTGTGTATGTTTTATTTTTATTATGTTTTGTTGTAACTATTGATTTTTTCGCTTGTAAACGCAAATACTTCAAGCTTGAAGCAAACCGATATTATCAGATTGTTTCAACCTCATAATAAACATATAAATTAACTTTGATAAATAATATATGGTTTAATTTAAAAGTAGTTTAATAAAAGTATATTATCAGGGTGGCCAGCAACCTGGAAAAGTATATTATCAGGGTGGCCAGCAACCTGAAAAAATCAGGGAAATTCTATACCATGTTAAAAAGTCAGGGCATTAATTAAAATTTGCAAAATTTGTGGAAAAGTCAGCGAATTTTGTTAGGTTCAGTAACAAAATATATTTATTTGCTTATTTGAGACTAAAAATTAGTTTTCTTTTTTTACTTCATATTTTATTTTATTTTATTGTTTAAAAATATTTATAAATTTAAAGTAAACAGTTTTTAAGAGAACTTATATTAATTGGGTAAAGTTGTATGAGTTTTATTTATTACCTTTTTATTACTACATTTGTTAAATTTACATCAGGAAGTCAATGAATATTTATTTTAGTCTGGAAAAAGTCAGAGAAAACAAAATAAAATATTGTCTGGCCACCTTGATTATTTAATTCTAATTAAAAAATATATACAATTTAATTTTGCTTGAATAAATATATTTAAGTTTACGTAGATCATAAAATTAATGTTTATGTTTGGATTTAATTTATAAAAATTAGCTCATTTATTGGAAGTATATTTTTGCAATTTTCTTTTCTTAACTTTTTTTTTTTTTTTTTACTAAAAATATTTCTCTTATGGTTTAATCCTTGTAAATATTTTCCAAGGCTGCCTCAAGTTTTTGCACAAAATGTATGTTAAACTTATATTTTATAAGGCAACTATATACATTTATTAATAAATGGTACTTTTGGAAATCTAAAATAATCTTTGCTATTACAACAAAATCGTTGATAAAGTAATAAATTTTAATAAATAAAGTTAATTTACTTAATTTTTTTAATTGTTATACAATAAATTTCTTATTGAAAAGCTGCAATAAGAAATTTCGGAAATAACAATTTTAAAAAAATGACATTCATGTATAAAAATGTCAAAAAAAGAAAGAAATTTGTTCATATTAAGCATTTTTTAAAATGTCAAAAAAAGAAAGAAATTTGTTCATATTAAGCATTTTTTTAAATGTCAAAAAAAGAAAGAAATTTGTTCATATTAAGCATTTTTTTAAATGTCAAAAAAAGAAAGAAATTTGTTCATATTAAGCACTTTTTTAAATGTCAAAAACAGAAAGAAATTTGTTCATACTAAGCATTTTTTTAAATGTCAAAAAAAGAAAGAAATTTGTTCATATTAAGCATTTTTTTAAATGTCAAAAAAAGAAAGATATTTGTTCATATTAAGCACTTTTTTAAATGTCAAAAAAAGAAAGAAATTTGTTCATATTAAGCATTTTTTTAAATGTCAAAAAAAGAAAGAAATTTGTTCATATTAAGCATTTTTTTAAATGTCAAAAAAAGAAAGAAATTTGTTCATATTAGGCATTTTTTTTAAATGTCAAAAAAAGAAAGAAATTTGTTCATATTAAGCAGTTTTTTAAATGTCAAAAAAAGAAAGAAATTTGTTCATATTAAGCATTTTTTTAAATGTCAAAAAAAGAAAGATATTTGTTCATATTAAGCACTTTTTTAAATGTCAAAAAAAGAAAGAAATTTGTTCATATTAAGCATTTTTTTAAATGTCAAAAAAAGAAAGATATTTGTTCATATTAAGCATTTTTTTAAATGTCAAAAAAAAAAAGAAATTTGTTCATATTAAGCATTTTTTTAAATTTAATATTAAGTTTAATTATTTTATATTTAAAAAAAATTTTGAAAGAAAATAAACATTCCATTTCTACATTGTTTTTGTTAATTGAGTTAATTGTTTAATTGAACTTGTTTTGCGGTAATTGATTATAATGCAGTAGTTTAGAAAAGTTAATGTCTTTAAAAAATAAAAAAGTGAAATTTATGAAAGAGAATTTTATGATAGCAAATTCATATTAAGCATTAAACATTTTTTTATTTAGAACAACACCTGAAATTTGTTTTTAATTATTATAAAGTTTCATTTTTATTGTTTCTTACCAATCATTTAATGCCATTCAATTACCAATCAGTTGAGCATCTTTGCGTAAATTTAGGAAACTAAAGTAAATAAATCATAAATTATATTTATCTTTTATTTACTCTAGTTTCCAAAATTTACAAGATTTAAAAAAAAATTTGTGAGTCAACTTATGATATGCAGCAGGTTATATCTCTTATGATAAATAAGTCAGGCTGAATTCTGAATCAAAATTTAGTTTGTAATTACCGTATAATATATAATCCAGCGTAACCACAGCATAATAAGTGTACTGCTTATAAAAATTGCACTTTTACAAAGCAAAAGCTAGGAAAAGTTACTCTGACTCGAAATGTTCACTCAGAAAAACTTGGTAATTAAAGTCCAGATAAAGTTATTTTCAGTTAGACACAATCTATGTATTTTTACTTAGATTGTGTCTAACTGAAAATAACTTATGCAGTTGTAAACTGCATCCAACTACTGTTTTCTAGAAAGTCTTTTAAGCAAAGTCTAAAGAGATAAAAACAAAATATCTGTTTCCCACCTCACACCTGTTCTTTATTTGAATTTAGGCGGGCCTAATTGTTAACTTGCATTGTTTTCTGCCTAGGATGATTAAAAGTGGGCTTTCTTGACTTTATTTATGGGTTTTTGCTTCCTTAGTAATGACTATGCAACTCTTTGTCATTTCTTAATATGGATAAAACTCTAAAACTCAGTTTAATGGTTCTTAGGCTTAATGGTAGCAAGGTTTATTGAACTCAATGATAGATCTTAAAACAGCTGAATTGTCAGCAGTTTTAAGATCTATCAGCAGTAAAGTATTAAAGTATAAACAGTGCCATTTTGCACATGGATAATGCCCCTGTTACTGCTTTAATGTGCATTGTCTAGGCTACATACTAAGTCTTTTGTTATGACTTTTAATTTATTAACAGGAATCAGGCAACTCCGTAGCTTTCACCATAGAGTACCAAGCACTGTCTATTCTCCCTCAGAAGCGAGATGTTCACTACTGCAAAAACTCAGTTGTTTTCTTACACTTATTGTTGTTGTAAACGAATTGTTGTAATAATTTGTTGTTACACAATATTATTGATGAATGACATATTCTTAGCGGGCCTCAGTTTTAGATTTTGTTGGATTTAATTGCTGACCTCTGATCTGATCCATTGCAAAATTAGCATCTGCTAACGTTGCTTCTATTGTTCTACCGTTTTTTTAAATTTTTCTCTACCACTTTTACTTCCATTTACAACTAAATTGATGAGATAAATGTAAAATATATATATTTTTTCAGGTTGATGCAAAGAAAGCTGTTCCAAAAGGTCCTAATCAAGGAAATATTTTGCGCGCAATGGTTAGTTTTTTTTAATTGTGTTAATATATTGTATTACAAATATGTTAAAGTATTGGATTTATTTAGTTTTTTTTTATCATTATATTAATATAAAATATATTAATTTTTATAGTTAAAGTATAGTTATAGTTATATATTTTTATAGTTAAGTTTTATAGTTGTTGAATAACAAATTATTTATCGAGCTGAATAAATTATTTAAATTTTCTATAAACTAAAAGAATTTTATTTTTTTTTGTCTTTTCTTTATCTTATTTCTATTTCTAAGCGTAATATAAGGCTTTCATTTCTGTATAGTTTTTTTTTATTATTGTTAATATCAAAATTTTGATTTGATAAAGGTTTGATTTATAAATGTGTTCATTGTAGACATTTTTGATATGATTGTAGACATTTTGATATGAATTTTTTTAAATTTGTCAGAAGTGGTTATAATAAAAGTTTTCTTTAAAACTTAATAAAAGTTTTCATTAAGTCAAATTAAATTTTTTGTCAAAACTCTCCAGTGACGTCATTAGCTCAAACACTGCATAAACTGAAATGCAGCATTTCATTTAAGGAAATGTTTGAGCTAATGACGTCACTGGAGAGTTTTGATAAAAAATTTAATTTGACTTAATGAAAAATTTTAAGTTTTTCATAAAAAACTTTAGTTATGTGTTTTGTTTTAGTGGGCATTTAGTAAATCAAATTGATTATTTTCAATCAAATTGTTATTTTTCACCAAATCCCAAACTTTTTCACCAATCCCAAACTTTTATTGACTATAGAAGATGTCAATTGAAATTTTTTTAAACATTTTAAGAAACAAGATTAAATCATTTTCTGATTTTTTTCAGTAGTTAAGTTGCTCCCTAAACCTAAGAATGTGTCATAAACCTAAGAATGTGTCATAAACCTAAGAATGTGTCATAAATAATTAAGAGTAATGATTTCCCTAAATCTAAGAATGTGTCATAAATAATTTAGAGAAAAAACTTATCAATTTTGATATATAACTAAAAAAAAAAACACCAATGACCTTACAACACCTGTTTGAAAAAAAAAATTGTTACTGTTTAAATTTTTTTTTAAAGTTTAAGGAACCAAATTAAGCATAGCTTTAATATCATGAAAACAGTTTTTAACTAAATGAAATGTTTCTCTGCTACCTTGCTATTTTATAACAATAGTTTTATATGGAAATCACAAATGACATTCAGCAACAAAAAATGTTACATTGAGTGTATGCACTTTAACATTTTTGTTGTTGTTATATTTTAATGTACTAAGACAGCATTCAAACTGTTTATATTAAGTTTTCAAAAAATAGTGCATTAAAGTTATATTAAATAATTATATATGTGTGCATATGGTTACTTTGATTTTTGTCTATATTTACTTAGATTTTTGTCGTTGTTTTATATAGTAAAAATAATTTTGGTCCTAAAACAACATCTCAGGGCACACTAGTGGAATTTGTGTCTTATTCAAGTACTTGCCTGTAGACTACTCTTTGTAACCTTAAATATTTTTACATACCAAACTATATGTATCAGGGATGTGGAGTCCCAAAAGGACTCCAGCTCTATATTTTAATTTTTTCCTGGTTTCTGGTGTCCAGATGCTCTAAACATGTTGGTTGATTTATGATCTGCTTTAAGAAAAAAACATGAGATTTAATGACTTGGAACTTATTGTTTTGAGCTCAGAATCCTGGAGTCCCCAGGTTACAAAATTGGATTCTCCAGGTCCAGAATTGGATTCTCCAGGTTACAAAATTGATTGTTCCTCTAATCAAAAAACTTTTTTTTATTAGTCGTCCATAAGCTTTTCTATATTTTTAGACCTCCTGGATACCAAAAATTAGGAAGAAGTAATCTTTTTGTAACTTTCAAATCCAGTCCTTTTTGGGATTCCGCATCCTTGGTTTGTAAATTTTTGTAACTTTAATTTTTATACTTTTAAAAAGATTGAAGCAGAAATATAATGATTAATCATTGAATAAAATAATCAAGGATAAAATTTCTTATTTAATGAAAAAATTTCAAATTATTTTTAATAATTTTAAAAGAAAATGACTAAATTATATATTTTTTTTATTAATTTTTTGAAAATATTATTCAATTAATATATTTTAATATTAATACTAAATATAAATATTTGTAAAAATTTATACTTTAGTACTTGCGAGATGCTGCAAGAAATGTATGTGTTAAATATTTTTTTATAAATGTCTTTAACTTATTGCAAGTTATTGTGCAACCTGTCATGAGTTATTTTGCAACTTATTATGAGTTATAATGCAACTTATTGTGGAGTTGTTTTGCAACTTATTGAGAGTTGTTGAAAAACATATTGCAAGTTGTTGTGTTTTAATTCAGTTTATTGTTTTATTTTAATTATATTTATGTTATGATTTAACTTAAATTTTAACACAAATTAGTTGTTTAAATTTTAACAGAAATTAATTTTAAGCTATGAGCTTGCTTAAAAAAAAAAAAAAAACTTATTTTTATTAAATAGCATTTTTTGGGGTAAGAGCTAGGGCGTAATAAGTTTCCAACAGTCACATGCAGTAAGGTATAAGCAAAACAAATAAGTTTCCATTGGTCAAATGTAGTTAGGTATAAGCAGGACAATAAGTTTTTAACAGTCAAATTTAGCAAGGCATAAGCAGGACAAGTTTAAATAAGATTTAGTTTTTTAAGTTACATTAACAATGTAAATTACAAAACTAATGTTTGTATAGTGACTGGGTTCCCAGCTGCCGACTTGAATTTCCTAAAGTGTCGGCATGCAAATTGAAATATATGTAAAAAATATATAATATTCGTTAAATATTATTTTATAATTTTTTTATTGTAATTACTTTTCAAGTTTGATATGTTTTATTAAAACAAAATTCATTTATTTTTTTTTCAGTTCATTTTTTCTTTTTCCTCAAATTTATTCGAGTATAGCAAGTTTAAAAAATATTACTTTTTAAATGCCTGTTGTTCTCACTCTTTTTTAAGCGCAATTATTATTTTATTAAGTTATGAAATCTAATTTTAATTTGCTTTATTAGTTAAAACCATTTAACTAATAAAATAATTTACATGTTTATGGTTTTTTAAATATTATTTAAGATCTGAAAGTATATTAGGAAGGTTTAGCCTTGGTATAGTTATGTTAAACACGTTGGGAGAAGAAACATTAGCAACAAAGCTTTTTTTTAATTTGATAGAAGTTAAGGCTTCCATTAAATTGCAACAGACACATTAGTAATACAGTGAGCAAGCTCAAAACAAGTCATAATGCCTAACAGAATTGTCATTGAAAAATGAGGGTTTTAATCCTGTGGATTTCAAACTGATGATTCAGGTGAAGTAATTTTCATATAAAAACTCTGAATAGTCTCGGCAAGTGTAAAACTTGCCGAGAGTATTCAGAGCTTTTAAAAAATTGTCATAGTAAAGATAAAGGCTGCGCTAAATTAGCAACAGAAACATTTGTTCGGGGAACAGTTATATAAAAAAAAAACTTGATAATGATTGGACAAAAAAATCTGATAATGAAAAAGTTATGAAAATACGTCAATACGACAATGACCATTGCGCAGAAACAATGTTTGTATAAAAGAAAAAAAACTATTTTAGTATTTTAAACTTTTGTTTTCCCTTCATCAATTTACATATAGTTAAAAGTTCATACTATGCTACAATTAAATATTAAAAAACACCACCCCTACCCCTAAAATCTTTGCCTACAGCACATAAACTAAATTTGTATTTATTAACGTCGTTCTTTCTATGAGCAATATAAAAAACCAATTAAAATGTAATAAATAAACTATGACCATTTTTTTTTTTAAAAAAAAGCAACTTCAAAACTAAAAAATCACTAATTCATAAAATTGATATATACTTAATTTACTACACAAAATTTAATTGCTGTATTCTTTAAAATATTGTCTGAAGCTATCCTATTATAAAGCAATCCTTTTAAAATTAAATAAACATTACCCCTATCATAACAGAAAGCAAAAAATCAAATTTTATTTTGCCGACCTGACGTCGGCTAAGGTTGGCATAAGCAAGCCAACCTGAAATCCTTCGAATTTCGCTGACTGGTTATATATATTAATTTTAATGTTTTAATAATAGTAATAATTTTAATAATTTAGATAAATTAATATATGTTTTTATAATTTTTTTTATAAATTAATTTGCTCCCAACAAGGCTGCAATTATTAAGTTGGTAATCAATGAAAACAAAGAATAGTATTAAAGAGCAAGGAAATGATTGAAAGATGACTCGAAAACTTGAAGGTTAAGTAAGTCAAGAAAACATAAAGATAGGTGAGAATTTTAAAGCGCTGATGTGTAAGGAAAAAACTAGATGAATAAAAGTTTTTATTGCATGAAGAGAAAAACACAAATATACTACTGCTGAATAACAAGTCAAGCACAAATGGGTTTTGGTTGATCAAACTAGAGATGATTGCATTTTAGCAAAGTTTTGACAGCATGCAGGGACAAATACAGTAAAATAGTGAAACTTTGCTGAATGATGAGTCAAGTGAGAATGAGTTTTAGTTGATGGAACTAGAGATGCAACGTTACGACAATAGCAGAGTGACTCAAGCAGTGACTCAGTCAGAGTGACTCAAGCTTGGCAGGTAGAGCAGGTCCAACTACATTTACAATGTGTTTTTGGATGTTGTCTAGATAAGAATTAGCATCATTAGAAGAACCAGCCCAAATATGACAACAGTATTCCATACAGGAAAGAATAAGAGATTTGTATAGGTAGAGAATGGAAAGAGGAGTAAGATAATGGTGATCATGATAAAGAAAATTAACTTAAGCAAATGCTAACTTTGCAATGGATTGTGTATATGGTTTTCATGAGAGGTCAGTAGTGAATGATAATCCAAAAAGATGTGAAGTAGAAGACACAATGATAGGGTTGCCATTCATAATATAGGATGCCAACAATAATGTCATAAATAGTGTTATTTGCAGTAAATAACTGAGTTTAGTTGTAGTTAAAATTGACAAATCATTGCAAGTTCCTGGCTATTACAGAAGTGAGATCAGGTTCAAGATTAGCTGCTTGTTTTAAGTGCTTTAAAAGAGAAGACGTTTTGTTAAAACAGGAATACAAAGTTGAGTCATCAGCAAATATAACCATTTCATAAAAAGCAATACAAGACCAAAGGTAAAACCTTGTGGTACCCCAGAAGTTATTGGAAATGAAGAAGAGTGTTGACCTTCAAGAATGAATTTAAAACTGTAATTAAAAAGAAATGATTTAATAATCTCAAAAACTTTCCCACGTATGCGCCATATGAAGCAAGCTTGTATAATGGAGAAAACCAACATGCGAAATTTTATTAAAAATATTTGGTATGTCAAAAACAATAACTCTTGCTTGTCCACCTTTATCTAATGTACCATAGGATCTTTTAGTACAGAAGTCAGTGGTATAATGAGATGATCAAAATCCCTATTGATTTTTAGAGGGTAAGTTATTAGAACATGGAATGTTAGTGTTTCCTTAGTTAATGACACCTTGAAGATTTCAAAAAATCTCTGAAACCTAACATTTAAATGATATTTAGTAAACTGAGAATAGAATATAATAAATGATATTTAATTAACTGAGAATAGCAGCTGCACAATAAAATAAAAACCATAGAGGAGAATGAGGCTTGAATGTAGACCAGTGAAATGGAATAAAAACTCGGATATCTACCTGGATGGAGGATGTTTTATAGGAAGCACATTTATGCATACATAATATGGATATAAACATGTATATTTGCTATTTATTTATATGTTAGCATACTATGTTCCTACATATTTATATAAACTTTATTATTAGTTATATGGGGTAGTGATCATCATCTTTTCTGGATGTGTGGTATGACTCTAACAAGACAAGATAAGAAGCCATAATCTAAGACTGAGATTTAAAATAAACTAAGTGAACAAAGTTTTTCAGAGAAGATTAAGGTGGTTTAGGTATGTTGAGCAATTAGGATGCAGCTCCAGGAAAAAAAGGCTGAGATAAAAAAACTTGGAGAGAGTCTCTATGTATGGTATAAACAAGCTTCAGTTAAGCGAAGAAGAATGTATATGTGTATGTGTGTATATATATATATATATATATATACATACATACATACATACATACATACATACATACATACATTTATACATGCAAATATACATACTTACTTACATACATTCTTACATACATAGCCCTCTGAACAAGGTTCAGTATTCTGCAATGCTGACCTAAAAGTGTTTGAGGTCAGCAAAAAATCATCAACCTCGTTTCTTTGTTTTATGGTAACTCCTTTGTGTCAAAATTTTTTTGCCGACCTGATGCCAACCTCTAATGTTTTTAGTTCTAACAGTTCTTATTTTTTCTAATTCTAAGGGCTGCATATATATTATATATATATATATATATATATATATATATATATATATATATATATATATATATATATATATATATATATATATATATATATATATATATATATATGTATATATATGTATGTATGTATGTTTATATATATATATATATATTTATGTATATATATATATATATATGTATATTTATATAATATGAATAAACCGGTCTTGGCTATTTTTTATCAAACCCTGCCCTAGTCAAATATCAAGCCTGTTCGCATACTACTGATGTCTAAAAACTTCCAAAAATGTTGAATAAGTTATTGCTCAACGAAAAAATCAGGACTTTTAGGGACAACAACTATCAGTTGCTTCAAGCCTGTATTTTTTTCTCAATGTAGTCTATAAGTTTCTCAATATTTTTGGATCTCCTGGTTACCAGATACCAGGAATAAATAGTAATTCAAAACTAGATTTCTTTTTAGGAATTCTCATCCTTGCTTAGATAGTAGTTCTCTTTTCTTAGGCAGTATCATTAAATGGTATCACAATAAAAATACTATAAGTTATTGCCATAAAAAGCGAACATAAAAAAAATTGCCTTATTTCTTCTGTAAATTCATTTTTAATAAAAGCAGTGTTATGGAAACCTGTCCAACCCACACAGTGTGAAACCAATGTTGCAAAAAAGTATTTATAAAGACTTTAAATCATTGCTTGAGTTCTCTTACTTTGGTTTCTACCTGCTATAAGTGTTGTTTTATCTTATATACCTTATAAGTATTTTTGTTGTTGTTGTTGTTATCTTTTAAATGATTTAAATAAGTCAACCACTTTTTTGAGTTCTGTTTATTATCATGAGGTTTATATTTATGTGTATTAAATGTACTAATGATCTGATAGAAGATGAATATTAGTATATGAATAACAAGAATTAAAAAAAAAAAAAACATTAAAAAAATTTGTTTTATCTTTTGTGCTATATAAAAACTGACTTGTTAGCCTCTCCTCATTTTACATAATAATGAAATGTAACATATGAGCTGGTTAGAATCACCATGGTGTAAGTTAAAAAAAAGTTAAGTACAATTTATTTTAAAATTTTGAGCCTAAAATAATTTTTAAATATTACTAATGATATATTTTATATACAATAAATGAAAACTTTTCAAACATTTTTTATTTAACATTTAACTTTTTTTATAAATATAAACTATTTAATATATGTTTTATTTATAATTAGTTTTATTATATATATATATATATATATATATATATATATATATATATATATATATATATATATATATATATATATATATATATATATATATATAATTTATATTTTATATTATAATAAAAATTTAATGTTTTAAATTAAAACCAACCTTCATAGCGACACATCTGATTTACTAATAAATGTAGTTGCGCTATTGTGAGTTATTCAAAAAAAATTTTTTTTCAGGGTATAACTTCTAATCGCGCAGATCGTAATCCTGATTGTAAAGTGTTTGTTGGTGGTGTTGCTCAAGGTACCACCGAATCAGATTTGGAATCTCATTTTCAGTTGTATGGAAATGTAAGTTGTTTTGAATTTATTGTTAAAATTAGTTTTTGTATTTTAGTATGTTTTGAATAAGTTGAGAAAAATATTTAAGTTATCCTAAATAAAAAAAGTAAGTTATTAAAACCTGTTCATGAAATTCATCAACTTAAAATCAGTTTTAATTAAAATTCACAGAAATTATGTATATAGAGTTGAAAAAAAAGTATCAAATAAACAACTGAACCATGTAAAAATGAACCTTTCAGTCTAGTTCCTTAAAACATTGTTTTTTGTTTTTTTTTCTTACTTTTATGCCATTTGTTACATTTTTAATTATTAGTATTTTGATAATATATTTTTACATGGTTATTAATTTTATATACCAAGTATTATATACCAATTTGATCCACACATTTACATGTTAACTGATGATGTTATAGTTAACAAGTATTAAAAAATTTAAATGATTTTAAAAGATTTTTGAATATTATTGTATTTAGTGCTAAAATGAAATTTTGTAAAAAAAATATTGAATAAAATTGTAATACCAACATTGAATTATTGTTTTTCGTTATTATTTTATGTGATATTTGTTTTTTTTTTTTCTTTCTGTTAAACAAAAAATCAAATAGTTCTGTACACTAGGGTGGTCCATGTAACAAATTTTTTATAAAATGCCTGCTCCCACCCTCTAAATGTGTTCTATATAATAAAATAATACTAGAATTGAAAAATTTAAAAAAAAATATATATATATAGGGGTAGCTCAAGACCTTTAAACATCAGGCGGATCTCTATAATTATCAAAACAAAAGTTCTTCAAAAGTATATTATGTTGGGTCTCAAAAGAAGCAAAATTATATAATGATTATAGAAATAATCATCATTTTATAAAAAACATTGAGAAAAAAATTATAATAAAATTTTTTTGTAAAAATGCATTTTTTTAGTTTTTAGTCAAAAATGCAATTTTCTAGGCAGTGAAATCTAATAAAAGAATTTTTTTATAAAATGATGATTATTTTTGAAGGTTTTATATAGTCTCACTTCTTTTAAAACCCAACATGATATACTTTTAAAAAACTAGTTTTTTGATAATTATATGGAATCATCTGATGTTCAAGAGCCTTGGGCTACCCCTAAAAAAAATTTTTTTTTTGAAAATTTTTTAATTATAGTATTATTTTATTATATAGAACACATTTAGAGGGTGGGAGCAGACATTTTAAAACAAAGTTGTTTTAAGGACCACCTTATTGTACACATCTGTCATTATACAACACATGCACAATGGAAACATTTTGTCGCATTGGTTTGACAAGGTGATTTGATTCGTGAGTAGTTTTAAGAAAATCAATGTCAAAAGTTGTTCCTACAATAAGCATCTGCCTTTAACATCTACCATAAAAATTTATTTGTATCAATCAATAATATTTTTCATTCATGATAACATAAGCATTTGCTTTTAATATCAATACTTGTAACTAAAAAATGTTTTACTCTTCAATGAAAAATAAATATCCGCAAAATGCAGTTAGAACCATGTCATAGTGAAATATTCATATCTTCCCTATGACAAGGTTCTAACTGCAATTATAACGGTAGTTAAAAACATTTAAGCTAATTTAATGCTTTGTAATTGAAGTAGTTAACTACTTTTAAATTTTGTAACTGAAACTAAATTATATTAAATAGGTATTACCATATTATCTAACAAGATTCTACCGTTATATTATATTTAATAACCATTACATTATGACTTGAAAGCTTTTCATTGCATCCTGTCATTTTAAAGGTGAAGAACCATTGGTTAGTAATCTCGATCCTTAAGAGGCACAAAAGAAAATAAAGCCTTAAATTGTGGAAGCTTAAATCTATGGTGTAACATTCAAAAACTCTAGATTTTGACAGGCTAGTGCTGGCATTTTTTCTGTGAGGTTTTTTCATTAAGTTTGACATTAGCACAAGTCACAGGTTCATTTCAATTTGGATAGATAATTTTAGCAAAGCAATGTAGTTAAACAGCTTTGCTGTTAAAAATAGTCCTTGAAGTCTTGTTGATTTATTTGAATAACATATTAATAATGATAAGGATTTTTCCATTAACTTGTTTAAGGGTCCTTTATCAATCCAAGTGGACTATAAAAACCAGCTATCATTCTAAGTTTTTCAATTTAATTATGCGCATTATCCACTTTCTAGACAAATAAATGACAAGGAAGTAAGTATTTTTAGTAAATAAATATTTGTAGTAACATAAATGACTAGAAAGTAAGTATTTTGTAATGTAACACACTTTTTGATATTATATTGTTCAGATTTTAAGGAATGCAGCAGTCAGACCAAGTAACTAAGTTGTTCATGATGTTTTTACTCTGCCACAACATTCAATATATTGCAAAAGCTCTAGAAAAATGTTTGCCGGTATTTTTCAGTATTGTTGTTTGGTTTTTGTATAATATGCTGCCAAGTTAATCACACTTTGCTTTCTCATAAAAAATAGTTTCACTTCCAACATTACTATCTTAATTTACAGTATTTTTTAAAGTCTTTTTAAATCATTTTAAAAATCATTTTTATTTACACAGTTAAACTTCCCTTCATTGACAGACAGTTAAGGGTATAAATGTACTTACATCAACGGTAAGTTTGTGAGAAGACTGAATTGTCATTAATTAAAATTTAAAAAAAAGTTTTACTTTATAAAAGGCATTTATTTTTGTTTTTATTAATTATTTCAACGTTGATAGAAATCAGTACTTTTTGTTGAAAAATGTAGCATTATAAAAAAAATTTATAAAAAATAGGGAATATTAGCGGGGGTTTTTTTTTTTTTTTTCCTACATCAAACTAGAACACTATACCTTGATATTGAGACCAATCTTATTATTTGTTTTTTGATGAGCATGAAATTCTCAATCATAACATGTTTAACTGAAAAAAATTTGAAATAGTCTGCAGCTAGGGTTTACCCTAACATGTTGGATGGAAACTTGTCAAACTAAATTTTAGTTAACTAAACCTGCAGATAGAACTTTGGCACATTGGTAGTTTGCTTGTTTTATGCTAGATCACAGTAAATTTTAGTTTACTTTGTTTGCCATGATACAAATAGTCCATTAAAGTCATAATCTCAATTTTTGAAAAAATGTCAGTTAGAACCTTGTCGCGATGATTTGTAAAACATTTGTAATGAAAATTTAATTTTACTCTTAAATTACAAAATTTATTTAGTTATGACTTTATCATAATATATTCATATCATGATTTTTTTTTTATGTTTTTTTTAAAATTTATCTTTATACTTATTTTTATGTTATAAAATGTTTTAAATTTAATTTTTGTTTTCATTTAATTTATGTTTTCATTTAATTTATGTTTTCATTTAATTTATGTTTTCATCTAATTTATGTTTTCATTTAATTTATGTTTTCATTTAATTTATGTTTTTATTTAATTTATATTTTCATTTAATTTATATTTTCATTTAATTTATGTTTTCATTTAATTTATATTTTCATTTAAATTATATTTTCATTTAATTTATGTTTTCATTTAATTTATGTTTTCATTTAATTTATATTTTCATTTAATTTATGTTTTCATTTAATTTATATTTTCATTTAATTTATATTTTCATTTAATTTATGTTTTCATTTAATTTATATTTTCATTTAATTTATATTTTCATTTGATTTAAGTTCTCATTTAATTTATGTTTATACTTATTTTTATGTTATAAAAATAATTTTTATGTAAATATTCAACAGGTTCTTGAAGTGAAAATTCCTAAGGACCAGAACACTCACCGTGCAAGAGGTATGTTTTTTTTGCTTACATAGATTATTAATTTTACAAGTGCAAAAATATAAAATAAAACCAAAGGTTTTTAAAAAGTTTTTACTTGTGCATACATGTTTTTTTATAAACTTTATTAAATTGAAAAGGTGGATTTTTTTTTTTTTTTTGGAATATAATTGTTTAACTCACAATTACATTGAAAAATACTTTGATTTATGATTTTTATGAATGATGATGTATATATGCATAAATTTTCATGCCATTTTTATCAATATTGAAAAGTAATAAAGAAGAAATAATAATGACTAAGCAAAAGAAAATAGTTATTTCAATATTTTGTTCATCTAATATAAAACTTCTTTCGAAAAAGTGTTAAACTGATTTACCTTATAAAAATTGGTTACATTTTAAAGCAGTTTTGATACTTGGACTTTATATTTTATACTTTTTGTTTATTTTAAAACTATTTTGTTATTTTAAATTAATCAAATTCAATTTTTTTAGGATTTTCATTTGTGTTATTTGAAGATCGCGAAAGTGTGCTCGCAGCAACTAAAGAAAGATATCAGAAGATTAACGGGAAAACGGTATCCTTTTTTTTTTTAATTTAACTTCATCAAAAAATTGAAAGTGAAACTATATTATATTTTAATATTATATATTAAATAATTAACTTTTTTTTTGCTATATTATATGTTTTTACATAGAATTTTGAAATTTTAGGAGTCATTATGGAACTTGAACCTTTTTATAATTGTTTTTGAAAAAAAAGATAAAGCTAGTGTAAACTATTTCTTAACTATCCAATATTAGATTATATACATTGAATCAAGTTGTTTTGCAGTTAGTGGCCTAACTATTAATTTGCAAAAGTAAAAATTTATGTAATGAAAGCACAAATCTGTGTAGTGAATAATGCTGTGTTATAGTATATGCACATGGTCTAAGACTACATGGTCTAAAAAGTCTGCACTCTGCTTACGTAACTTTGTACTTTGTTTGAATTAATTCCTTAATAAAGTTTTTATGTGGTCTATACAACCTTAGCCTATATAGCTTCTGCTAAAAAAGAAAAAAAATGGATAAATATTTTTAAAAGCAAAGCAGTACAGGTAGATTTGAATTTCTAAATGTTTTGTAAAGGCTAAACAGAGTAAACACATAAGTTAATACAACTTCCGAAAGCATTTTAATTTGTTATATTACAAATATTACTATATCGAAAATGATCAAACATTAAAATGTTGCAAATTATTTGAACTTGTTTATACAGTAAATTGAATGTAGATTTTTATAAAATGTAATGTAAATGTGTTAAACATACCATTAATTTTTTCGATTTTGCTCCTTGTGTGTTTTGTTTAGTCTTGCTATTTTTTACCAATAATAAAAAAGTATTACTAACTTTACTATTGAGTAAAGTTAGTAATACTTTTTTATTATTGGTAAAAAATAGCAAGAGTTTACAGCAAAAAAGGAGCAAAAAGGAACAGTTTTGCATATTGTTTATATTATCATGTATTTTTATTTACTGTTTAAATTCTCTTGTAAATTTGTATCTTGTTTATTTTAATATGTATTTTTGTGCGCTGTTTGTATTAGTTTTTTTTTATTACACATTCTTGTGTATTTTTCATTGGGCACTGTCATGTATTGCTCATGTCTTTTTTTTGTGTGTGTGCAATGTTTGTGTTGTCCTGTATTTTTTATTATTTTTATTTTAGTTTGTTTAATGTAGGTCAGACATTTTTTAAAGTTGTATTTATTTCTAAAACTGCATATGATATGCAGTTTTAGAAATATATGCAATTTTAGAATATCTATTTGTACACACACATATAGATATTATCTATATATGTGTGTGTACATATATATAATATCTATATGTACATATAGAACATATAGATATGCAGTTTGTAAGTGAGTGGCTGTAGGTGAGTATGTATATTTCTGTATGCATGTGTCTATGTATGTGTGTATGCATGTGTGTGTGTGTGTGTGTGTGTGTGTGTGTGTGTGTGTGTGTGTGTGTGTGTGTGTGTGTGTGTGTGTGTGTGTGTTTATCTATATATCTGTATATGTATATATGTGTATATGTATGTTTGTGTATCCATGTAGCAATATTAAACTTTCTACTTTTTTAAAAGCTTATTTATTTTCCTTTATTTTATTTTTGTCAGTTTTGATTTTTTGATAGTATTACTTCTTTTAATGATAAATATATTTTTCTTATTTTTAATCTTTTGTTATTGTAGTTTTAATTATAATTATTGTTATCATTGGTGTTATTATTTTTAACTTGATTATTATTTTTCCTATTTTCTTGTTTTCTATTTAAATAATTGTTTTTTGTCATTATTAGTTGTTAAGTTTTATCAGATTTTTAACTGTTTGTAACTTTCTAATTTTGTATATTTAGTTATTGTGCTAATAAAAACAACTTATTTTTATTGTTATTGTTTTTATCATCATTTTTATTATTATTATTGTTATTATTGTTACCATTATTACTATTGGTATTGTTTATTGTTTTTTTTTTTATTATAAATATTGTGATTCTTATGTTTTTTATTATATATATTGTTTATTATTATATATTGTTTTTATTATTATAACCATTATTGTTTTAATTATTGTCATAAGGTGTTTACTTAATGTTAGTAATGTTACTATTTGTAAACAACCATGAAATGTAAACACCAACTATTTCAAAAATATATTGATTGATTGATATGTTAAATGTAATCTAAATGTGTTAAATGTAACATTGATGTGTTACAATTTAAACTAAACAAAAAGCTATGGATTTAATAACATTGATTATTTTAATTACATTTGGCATCTTTTTAAGTTTTTGTGATAATTTTATAATGCAGATCTTGTCATATTTATATGAGGAAGGTCTTGAAGCAAACATCAAAGATACAAGTAACTATTTTATGCTTTTCACTCATAAGACATCAGATCTAGAATAGCTTACAGATGTGATAATTAATTGTCAAATCTGATAGTGTCATCTGATCATGACATCTTAAGCAGGGTTGGCAAAAAACCCGGATTTTTTTTTAAAGAGCCTGTCCCAGTGGGTTATTTTGGGTTTAATTTTTATTTTGTATCTGTTAAATTTTTGTTTTGTTTTGTTTAATGATATTGAAAATTAGTCTAATTTTCTACTATATTTTATATATTATATAAAATGTAATTTAATAATTTATAATAAGAAATTTTCAAATTATTTGGGAAAAAATTTTTAAACATAATTTAAAACTGTAATAGAATAAAAATTTCACATTAAGCCTATATGTATTGATTTTTTTTTTAATTTAAAAGTAATATTTTTTATAATTAAAAATGTCAATAAGAAATGGGAAAAAGAAGGCTGGAGAATGAGAAATGGGAAAAAGAAGGCTAGATAATGAGAAATGGGAAAAAGAAGGCTGGAGAATGAGAAATGGGAAAAAGAAGGCTAGAGAATGAGAAATGGGAAAAAGAAGGCTAGAGAACGAGAAAAGGGAAAAAGAAGGCTGGAGAATGAGAAATGGGAAAAAGAAGGCTAGAGAACGAGAAATGGGAAAAAGAAGGCTGGAGAATGAGAAATGGGAAAAAGAAGGCTAGAGAACGAGAAATGGGAAAAAGAAGGCTGGAGAATGAGAAATGGGAAAAAGAAAGGCTGGAGAATGAAAGAAGGGAGAATGGGAGAAAGTAACTAGAATTTTAATTGAACCTCAAATTTGAACTTTCAATTGAAATACAAATGAACAAACTTGTTTCTCCCCGCAGCGACCTTGTTTTTAAAGGTTCTTGTTTCCGAGTTAAAAAGTTGAGAGAGAGTTGTAACCAAAATAAGATAGTCTGCTTAACTGTAGTGGCCTCAGCCTTGGATGTAGTGGCCTCAGCCTTGGATGTAGTGGCCTCAGCCTTGGATGTAGTGGCCTCAGCCTTGGCCAAAGGTGAAAACAAAAGATAAAAAAGTGATCTCAATCTGTGAAAATATTTGAATAAAAATTGTGATAATGAATTTCCAAATAATGTTTCATATCTGCTCTGATAGCTGTTATTGTTGGTTATAATAGTTCATAAAATTATAAAATATCTTAAAAAAAAACCCAATAAAATCTAGATTGCCTGGGTTTTATTGGATTTTTTTAGGTGGGTTTTTTCAATGCTAACCCTGATCTTAGAGGAAATCTGATCCTGTTGTCTTGAATCGAAATTATTCATTTGTATCCTTCAAAGTTATACCAAGATGTTTAAATGATCTCACAAGAAGGTATCATGATTGTATATAACATATTTTCTCATGATACCAGAATGTAATATATATATATATATATATGAGCTATTTATTTATATAATATATATATAAGCTATTTGTTGAAATGATATTTTTTTCTATAACCAGCAAAAAAGTATCATTCCAACAAGTCTTCGTTGAGTTTTCTAGGGTTTCTTTTCACTTAAGGTGATTCCAAGTGATGTATTTCTGTTTTGCTTTTGATAACCTTTGATTACCTTTTCTCAATTTTGAATTTCTTTCAATAATCTATGTGTAACCAAGTGAATTTTTTATATATATATTTTTTTGATAAACTCATTCTTACTGCTGTTTTTAAGGTGGATATATTTTTAGATATTTTGGATTTTAAACTGATTATTTGTAATAAATTTAAAAATCTGCCTGATAATGTGAAGATCGCCTCATCAATTTAATAACTTATTGTCTTTAGAACATCCTGTTGTTAATAAATTCTAACTAATACATTTGCTAATAGAGATATATTTAAATAATTTGTCAAATATATATAAATAGTTTTTTTATTTTTTTTTTTTATTTTGTAAATTTGTAAACAAAACAAATATTATTTCAAAATGTTTTAAATATTTAGGTTGAAGTTAAAACAGTCCACATTCAACCAGCTAAAGATGACAATATTGATGCTGAAAGTCAAATACAAAGTAGGTTTCTGTCTTTTATGAGTTTTACTTTTTAATTTATTATATTGATCTTTGCTTTTGAAAGTTAGTAGAGTTAAATTTATAATTGTTAATTTGTTGTTATCTTATTAATGTTTATAAAATAGTAAGGCAATTTTTTTACAGGTCCCTCCTTGCCTTATGTGCAATACAGTCAGCGTCCTGGTTTTTATCAAACTTACCCATCAGGTTTTCTAGGAGTAGGAGTTGGTCATAGTGGTGGTGGAATAAGTCCTCAAAATTTTTATGAGTCCCCATATGAACCTTCTCCAAGTGGAAGTACCTCCTCTGCAGGTTAGTTTACTATTTTATATGGTTATTTTAATTTGGTGTTTTAAATATTGACAAGATTTTTGTTTGTATGTAGCTTCTATAGGGTCTGCAGGGTATGGTGCTAGAGTAAATGCATGGGAACATCCTCAGCGCATGTCTTTTATGGAAGAATATCCTTATATGGCTTCTCTTTACCCAGCAATGAATGGTAAATGCATGTTTACTATAGTTTTGCAATTGTGTAAATCGTAAAATTTAAAAAATGAAAAAAAAAAGTGTTTATTGTAATTTAGAAGTGTTTAGTGAAGTCTTTAGTTATTGTTAAATAACAGTTAATGTAATAGTTAATGTAATAACCTACATTACATAATTCATGTTACCTTTACATAATAATCTAAGAGTTATTTAGCAATAACCCTCATTCTTCAGTTGAGGTTTTCCAGTAATACTCAATACTTCAACCTTATTATAAAGCAATTTGCATCGGTATTACTTAGGAAGCATTGAAATGTTGAATAGTAACATTTATATGCTTTATAACCCTTACTTTTTTTTTTTAGTAACTTTAATAATAAATCCACTTTAAAATTTGTGTATATATATATATATATATATATATATATATATATATATATATATATATATATATATATATATATATATAAAACGAGTAGTCAATTTGAGGAAATTTTTAAATCTAAAATACCATACACTCTACATTTAAAGCAAATATTTAAAAAAATAACTCCCAAAAAATTTGAGCTCAACAGGACCACTCAATCCTTACCCTAAGCACTTTTTTAGAAAAAAAAATTCTCAAAAACCTAAAAAATCACCAATTTCCTATGTTTTAATTACAAAATTTTGACATTTTTTTGTTTTCGGGTTTGTTCATTTTTACCTATATATTTGAATAAAAAAAAAGTTCATAATATATTTTTTTCAAAAAATATCTTTATTTTTGTATTTTGAATTGAAAAATCTCAATATTTGATGATAGTTTCATGTTGTTGGATTAAATTTCAAGAGCAAACAATTTCATTTGCGTTCATGTTCTTTTTCACCTATTTTCTTCCTTTTATCAAAAGAGAAGATAAGTTTTCAATTAATTTACTTTTTAGAAAGTCTGTTTGAACATCTTCCATGTTCAAACAGACTTTCTAAAATGATCATTCATAAAAGAACATTCTTTCTGGATGATCATTTATTACAATTAAAGGTTTGGCTTAATTCTAAAAGTTTTTAAAAACAGATTGAATAAATCAATACTTAGTGATAATCGAAAGCCAATCTTTTATCCTTTGTTCCTCTTCCAACATTCAACCAACAGAACAAGAGAAGAAGGATTTTTACTGATTTTGTTTCCCATCTTTGTTTTAACTTTTATATCTATTTTTGATTTGTTTTTAGTATTGTGTAAGTTGAAATCAGGTTTTTAAAAGTTAGAATTACTTTTGCAAGGTTTGCTTTCTCCTCAAATGACAAATCCAACAGAGCAAAAGGAATCATTGTTGAATCTAAATGTTTGTTTAGAGTTTAAAATTGCATCAGCAGCACCTTGTTTGGCACAAAGTTTTCTGTACTGTTGCATTTGGTGTATTTCTGCTTTCATGCAGCTTTCTCAAGAAAAGGTTCCCCTTACTGCTTTCCAATCAAACTTTATTAGTTCTGTTTGATTGTAATTAAAATGAGGACATTTTAATTACAATCAAACTGTGTTTGATTGTATTTAAACATAGGATTCCACATAGGATTATAGAATCCACATAGGATTATCTGTGGAATGTTCATCTGAAACTGAATTATAAAAATGAACCATTCTTAATTCACATACATGATGTCTGCATGAAATAATTAAAGATATTTGCCTATATTGTTGGATATTCTTATTAAAGAACCTTTCTTTAACCCAGTGTTACTTTCAGTAGTATCGAAACATATTCCTTCTACTTTGGCTTCAAGGTTTTACTTCCTAAGAAGATCTATTACACCATTGCCCTGATCTTCACCAGAGGATGACGGCAAGGAGGTACTCCAAGCAAGTGTCTCACCTTCAATATTCACAAGTACAGCCAGTTTATCAGTTTTAATTGTTTTTCCTTTTTTAGTTCAATTAATGTTTTGTCACCAAAAAAAAAAGATTTAAAATAAAAACAGCTAAAAAAATAAAAAGTTATTTTTTTAGCTGTTTTTATTTTAAATCTTTTTAAGTGGCTTGCAAATTGTAAGTAAGTTGCTTAGAAAGCCTTGCAAACTTTTTGTTTTGTTTTGTTTTTAAAGAAATACATACTTTTTTTCTGTACTTTTTTTCATCTGATCCAAGCATAAATCTTCTTTCCTCTTCTTGGTCCTCCAGAAACTCCAAATTCTCAAGCTTGTCTGAAACAGATCTTTTTTTGTCATTTTTAATTGTATTTCTAAGATCAGGAATGCCAGTCCAAAATATTTTGGGCTTGCATTCCTGATCATTTTACTTAAGAAGCATGAAAAAAAAAGTTTTTTTCATTCTTCTTAAGTTTTGAATATAGATTGTCCAGATTTAAAAGATTTTTCACTAGACTTTGATCATTTAGTATAGAAAATCCAGCTTTAATTCATGGCTCTTTCGCCAAAAATAATCCATGGCTCATTGGCCATAATACATTCACACTTACTTTCTATTGCACATCTTTGAAAATTTTTTTGAGGAGGACAATCAAGAATAGTGGCTTTTTTTGATGTTCTTGGCAAATATGATTGTTTGTAAGCCAAGTGCTGCAGTATCTCCATCCCTGTTGGAAGCTGACAGCCTTAATTACACAAAAGAAGAAAAAAGTTAAGCTAAAGTTTTTAGCTTAAGGGATTCATTATAAAACTAATTGTTACCTTTATTGATGGTTTTGCTTTTTCAATAAAGAATAGTTTTTTTCAGACCTTAGAGTACTTTCACTTTTTGTTTTCTGACCACGTTCTTCTTTTTTATACAGATTTAAATTTAATTTTTATTAATCTAAAAAATAAAATTTGAAATAGTTATTGTAAAACAATTTACTACTGCAACAAATAGAACCGTTGAATTGTTCTTTGGCTACTATAGCTGGGTCTTGTCAAATTCCCACCTCATAGAAATTACTAAATTTTGTTGTAGATTTACAATATTAATTAAAAAAGTTAAAAGTAAATGTTCTGGAGAATTAGTTGTAATCTTTTGTTAGTAACAATTGTAATTTTTTCAATTCAAAATGCAAAAATAAAAATGTTTTTTGAAAAAAACTATATTACCATGTATTTTTACTCAAATATATAGGTAAAAATTAACAGCCCGGAAAAAAAAATTTCAAATTTTTGTCATTAAACTTCCCCCCTGGACCTGTGTAATCAGCGGTTTTTGAAAGTTTTTGAGAATTTTTTTTCTAAAAAAAGTGCTTAGGGGGTAAGGATTGAGTGGTCCTGTTGAGCTCAAACTTTTTGGGAGTTGTTTTTTCATATTTGCCTCAGATCTAGAGTGTATCGTATTTTAGATTTAAAAATCTCCTCAAATTGACTATCCCTAATATATATATATATATATATATATATATATATATATATATATATATATATATATATATATATATATATATATATATATATATATATATATATATATATATATATATATATATATATATATATATATATATATATATATATATATAAACATTATTTTGATATATTTGGTATGTTAGCTCTTGATAGTTTCCTATTGCAATCTTTTCTTATACAAATGCACAGTCAAATTGTTGTTTTAGCTTCTATTGTGGAATTCTTATAATGATTAGTATTGAGATCCTAAAAAGTTGAGGTAGAGAGTGTTAAAGAAAGAGAGAAGAGAAGCCAACTTTTTTCTTTTTACGAACTATTTAGTTTGTTACTTAATACTTTTTACAATAAATTTTTATTTTTATTTTCTATTTCAGACCTCTTGCTATCACCACAACAACAGTATGCTCTAAGATCTAAGCGTAAGTTTCATTTTTTTATTTTTACATTTGGTTTAAATTAAACCCAATCAAACTCTATTTTTATAATTTTTTTTTTTCAGGTTTTATTCCAAGGCAATTTAGTCCGGCTGCTCTTAGTTATTCTATACAACCTTCTACTTCTGTTGATCATACAAACTTCAATCCAACGCCAACTGCGTTTCAAGGAGATCCTGTGTCATATGGATCTTCTTCGTTTTCAACTATGCCTGCTGCTCCCGTTCATCCTTTTATTCCCGGATCCAATCCTCAATCAGTATCTTTACAAGGTTTTGCTTCAAGATGATTTTTGGATTCAACCCTTAATCAGTTTCTTCACACGATTTTGCATCAAGATGGTTTCTGGATCCAACCCTCAATCAGTTTCTTTACGAGGTTTTTTGCATCAAGATAAATTGCATTGCGTTCATTTTTACCATTTATAGAACAGATGAAAAGATTTTCACTTGGCAATTTTATTATTTTGTTGGTAGTGATTTTATTTATTTTATTGGTCAGGCTGTTAATCAAACCAATTAAAATGATTTGGTTTGATTTTTTTATTGGTCACGCTGTTAATCAAACCAATTAAAATAATTTGGTTCGATTTTTTTATTGGTCACACTGTTAATTAAACCAATTAAAATGATTTGGTTCGATTTTTTTATTGGTCACACTGTTAATTAAACCAATTAAAATGATTCGGTTTAATATTTTTCTACTTTTACTCTAACTTTTTTAAAATTACTACCCCTTTGCGTAATCACAATTTATTTTAATATTTTTTTAAAACTTTTTTTTGTTTTTAAATTTTTTAACCCTGTTTCTTTTTTTCTTTTTTTTTTTTTGTTTTTTTTCTTCTTTTTCTTATTTTTATTAAGTATTATTTAGATAGGCATCGTAATTGGAAGTAAATAAAAATGACATCCCTGGTAGTTTAAAGAAAATTATTTGCTTCTATTATTCTAAATGCTTGCTGGTGTTACCAGCAAAATAATTTGGACCATGCTGGCAATACCAGCAATCGACTTTAATATTTACTGTAAATGACGAAATTATTATTTTCATTTTAAACTGTGCATGTAAAAAATTTTCTTTCTGTCTTAGCTGTTAAATATATTATAAATAACAAGTGCGCATATTGTAAAAAAGAATTTATTTTTTCTTATAACTGTGGTATTATATAATTGTATTATTTTTAGTTATATTTTAAAAATTATTGTTTTGCTGTTAACGTATACTCGCGTTTTTCGTAATCTTGATTTAATAAATTATTAACACTTTTTTTAATAATAAAGCACACAAAGTTTTATTTAAATGTCCAACTCGGTGTTATCAGTTTAATAAAAACTTTTTTTTTTGTTGATATTTTTTTACATTTTAATGTAGAAAAGAGATTTAAAAGAGACTTTAATTTATTTACTTTGTCCACTTTATTATATTATATTATGTATAGAAATATATATTTTCAAAATTAAAATTATACACGTACACAGGCTTGTGCAACTAACTTTTTTTGGCTTTTTTTATACTTTAAAAAAGTTTCAACTAATGAAAAGTTTATGATTTTTTGTTTGGTTTTTATTTTACTTATTGTTATTATTATTATTTTTTATTTCTTTTCTTCAATTTAGTTAAATATTTGTTATTTACTTATGTCGGGTACCTGAAAAATTTCTTATTTAATTTCGAATCCCGATCGAGTTTTTATATTCATTTGTTTGGGAATAATTTACTTGAGATAATAAGAAAAAAGTTTACCGTGTTGCGTACGTTGATATGTTTGTTTTTTTTTAACAAATTATGCACATTTTGTTTGCTATGAGTTTCTCGAGGAAATTGTCATCAACTGTTATTATAGATCAAAATTTATGTTTCAAAGTACTTTAAAATAGTCAAAAATATATTTGAAATTTTGACTTGAATATGGGGAAAAAATATAAGTTTTTTTTGGGAAAATATTTTGTGTTAAATAAACCAAGCCTTTTTTTCTTATTACTTTTTGATTTTGATTTGTTATTTTGGTGAATTTCTTCTTTTAAAGTTTTTAAGAGCAGACTTTAATTAATTTCTCGTTTTATTATTTCAAGTTAACAGTCATGTTAAAATATTTATTTAATTATAAACCTTGGTAGAGTATTTTTTATGACATTTAAAAGTATCTTTGTTTCTTTTTTTTTGTTTGTAAAATCTAGATAAAATTTGTGATATGCTTACTTTAACTACAAATATTTAGTGAAAGTGTTGTTCTATCTAGTTTTGCCTTGAACTATGTTGCAGAGGATGGTTATTATAATATTTCCCCGAAAAATTTTTTTTAGGGAGGTTACGTTTTGAAAAGTTACCCTCCCTACGTTTTTTTTTTTATTTATTTTATGCTACATGGTATCAAAATAACTTTTATATCGGTCTTTAACTTATTCTGAGATCATGAATTACAACGTAACTATCTGAGATTTATTTTAATATAAAAAGATTAAGCATAAATTTTATTTTAAAATACTTCCTCAGGTAAATTACCCGTATTTTTTATTATATTATTATTTTAGTTACCTGTATATCTTTATTGAGTAAAAAATAAAGTGATAAGAAACGAATGCTTTTAGTTTTTTACCCAAGTTCTACATTATACTAGTAAAGTTTTATTGACAATATTTGATGGACCTAATGTAAAACTTTGATTCAAAATTAATTTTTAAGAAGAATACCATTTTGTAACGATGTAAATAAATATCAGAAAAATCAACTATACATAGTTTGTCTGAATATTTGTATTCTTTCAACATGCCGTTTAATAAATATTACATTACATGAAATTATTACGTTAATACTCCTTTTTTTTGTTTGTTTACATTAGTTTGTCATTGTTCGATTATATAGTAATAATATTTTTAAAAAATACTAATTAAGCCCGTTTTTTTAATGCATAAATAAACTTTTTACAATAACGAAATAATATTCTTACAATGATGGAAGAAAATAAACTTTATAAAGTATATAGACTAATACAAAAAAATATATAAACAAAGTAAAATTACTTGATATAAACAAATGATTTGCTTAGTAATAATAAAAAGTTAACAACTTCTGAATGTTACTATTAGTAGTACGTAAGTACGTTGTCCATGGAAAGAATAAAACTTTTAAGTTTAGCTTAACAGGGAAAAAAGAAGGAGAAAGAAAATTTTGCAAAATAACTTTATTTCAAAGACATGGTGCACGATAATCAATACAAAATTGATAAAATTTGGTTCGACAAAAAATTTGGTTTAGCAAATCGTTATTTTTTAGGGTGTATTTACTGACAGGTTTTAAAGTAAAGATATTTTTAAAAACGTTCGAAACAAAATGATTTTTCCACATATATACAAAACATAAGATATTAAATACATTTAATTCATATATATTAAGTAATTTCATTTCGTTGAATAAAGGTTTCGAATGAGTTAGACGATCCACAAAATTAATAATACGAATTGTGTGCTTCTGACGGTTACAGAGAAACGTTTCAATCTATTTTTATTAGTATTTCCCCAGGCAATATTTGCATAAATTAAATAGTTATGGATAAACGCGTAATAAAGTTGGGACAAACTCTTCTTATTTAAATAATCTCTGGTTTTATACAAAACTCCAATATTTTTAGAAATTTTTGTACAAATGTAATCAATGTGATGTTTCCATGTAATATGTACATTCAGGAAAACTCCTAAAAACTTTATAACACAGTCTCTTTTAATCTCAATTTGGTCGATAAAAACTGGATGCAGTTTTATGGGTAAATAAGGCTTTTTCATAAGCAAATGGAAAATAATATATTTAATTTTATTAATATTTATTGTTAATTTGTTGCATTTGAACCAGGTAGAAATGTTGTTAAGCTCGTCATTCATTGTAGAAAAATGTTTACAAATATCATTATTAGAAAAAAATAGGTTAGTGTTGTCCGCAAACATAATACTAAGGCTTTATTTAAGTCATTAATATAAATTAAGAAAAGAAGTGGCCCTAATATAGAGTCTTGCGAAACACCACAGGTTATATGTAATAAATCCTTTTGATAAACATCATTACACAAACCACTTTATTACTCTGTTATTTATTCCATAGTATTTAAGTTTATGAAGTAAGATGGTACGATCAACTGTATCAAATGCCTCTAAAAGGTCTATAAAAATACCAAGTGTGTATTAAGAATTTTAAAAGGAATTTTATATCTCACGTACGTATTGAATGATTGCATGTTCAGTAGAACTGTGTTTTTTGAAACCAAATTGGTTGTTATATCATAGTTTACTATAATGTAAATAGTTATACACTCTTTTATACATTATTTTTTCTAAAATTTTCAAAAATATAGATAAAACAGAGATAGGTTGATTGTTGCTAATATTTGCTCTATCATCTTCTTCAAAAATCGGTGTAACTTTTGTGATTTTCAATTGATCAGGAAAAATTCCTTGATGTATTGACGCTTTAAAAACATTAAAGAGAATATCTTTTAGTTCTTCAAAGCAGTCTATAACTATATTACCATTTATGTCATCGGCACCAGTTGCTTTGTTTTTTTTTTAAGATTTGAAGGCTTTTTTAAACTCTTCAAAAGATAATTCTGAAGACAATTCATTAGAAGTAATGCAATCATTAATTGATCCTAAAAAATTACTAAATACAGCCTGGGTGTTTGGAACTTTTGTTGCCAATTTAGGACCAATTCCAACAAAAAAATTATTAAATTCGCAAGCCATTTCCTTTGGCTCAAAAATACATTTGTTATCGACTTTGATGACTTTGAGGCAGGAAACCTGAGCAGAATTTTTGTTTTCCACTAATTTCTTTCATTATTTCCCAAGTGCGTTTTGAGTTATATTTATACTTATCAAGTAGTTTAGAATAACAGTTTTTTTTAAGTTTTTGCGAGTTTTTTCAAATAAATATTTATAATTCTTGTATATTTTTTCATTTTCATGCGATTTTGTTTTTAAATATGTTATATATAATTTTTGCTTAAGCTTTGATGAATTTTTAAATTCTTTAGTAATCCAAGGTTTATATGTGCTATGTTGAGATTTTTTATGTTGAGGTTTATATTGTTTATTTGAATTGATTGTTTTTTCAATAAATGGAAAATTGGCATTGTAGATAGAGTACAATGTGCTGAAAAAATTATTGTAAATAGAGTTAGCATTGTCATTAAAACTTATATGCTTCCAATAAAGCAGTGATAATTGTTCTTTGAACTGGTTAACATTGGTATGGTTAAAAGAATGTCGTCTAAGTTTTGTGCTTGATTTAATTTTTGTTGAGGGCTTACTGTTAAATGTTAAGAATATAGGAAAGTTGTCAGAAATATCAGTTTTCAAAATACTTTTTTGCATATCATTATTAAGTATATCTGTTGTAAAGATGTTATCGATAAGAGTAGCTGTATTATTTTATTACGTTTACTTACTATTTGTAAACATACACACACGCACACGCACACACACAGATATCCATCTATCTATCTATCTACAGTATTGTGAAAAAGTTAAGAACCAATAAATTAAAAAAAAAAAAAAAAATTTAAATAAAATTAATTATTTTTTATTCTAAAGATAGTAAAAAAGTCTTTTTTTTCAAACATATTAATTAGAACATGAGAAAAAAGAAGATTTTTTTTTGAAAATTAAATATAAATAATGAAAAATAGAACCTATAAAAATAAGGATTAAATATTCTGTGTTAAATTTTTTCAATTTTTTCGTGTGAAAAAGTACAGAACCACAAAGAATTTTTTTTGCTAATTGCTTTGAAAAAGACTTTTTTTTAATTAATTTTTACCTTTTTATTTAAATACTCTATTAATGACCTGAGTCATTACCAAAAAACCAAAAGTATTTTAAAAAAATATTTAATTTCAAACAAAAAAAATTGTTTTCTTCTGAAAAAATGAGCAGAAAAACTATTACTTATGAAGATTGTGTAAAAGTAATGCATTTTCACCAGGAAGGTAAAACCGCTCGTGAAATTGGGAAAACAATAAAACAATCATATAGTTCGGTGCTAAAAATCATCAAAAGATTCAGAGAGACGAATGATTACGTTGATTGCCATCGTTCTGGAAGATTGCGTTTGACGACACCCAAGCGATGATCGCTTTTTAATCGGGTTGGCAAAGAAAAATTGAACCATGGCGTCGCATAAATTAAAAAGGGAATGGAAGCTTCCAAATGGACGCCAAGCATCGGTATCACTTAAGCGTAGGAAACTAATAGCTAACAATATGCTACGGAAAAAAGCTGTTCTAAAACCGTGACTTACCAAACAACATACAAAAAAGCGAAAAGAATTTTGCTAAAATGTCAAAGAATGGTCCAAAGAAAAATGGAGGACAGTAATGTTCAGTGATGAGATGAATATCGAGGTTGATAACCGAAAAAACCGAATTATGATTTGCAGGCAGCCTTCAGAAAAATATAATCTCGATTGTATTGTTCAAAGAACAAAACAAGGTAGCGGGTCGGTTGG